GAAAAAAAAAAATTAAAGAAACAACGTCGACTTTCTGAAATGTTTGTATACTAATTATTATCCTAGCAGAAAGTATTCCAATGCAACAGCTGATATCATCAAAAGCGTGCAGTCATATATTCAATATTATATTATAGTATAGTCAATACCAGTGAATTTAATGACGTCATTGTCACAGATTATTCGGGATAATTTATTGCATTATTGAGCATCAAGGCCCCGTACCATGTGGAATAGAATGTTGAGTTCGGGAAAACAAATAAAGAGACGGCCATTTCCAAATAAAAGAAATTATGGGATGAAATCGACTAAAATCAAAACTGAAAATGAATAACTCTGAGTTATATGAAAAATAATTATTTGTTCTTTAGTTTACATGAACAATGTCATTCCCGCGATAACGACAAACACAAATCGTCGTCTTGCCAATCCCAACTTCGCAAGAAACACGTACCGGTACCGACGTCCAACTTGTAAATATACGTAGCTAACCAAAGGCAAACACGATGGCCCGTTTTATCGATGTCGACGAATCCCAGTTAAATGTGATCGAAAATGCAATAAATTAAAAAAAAAATACTCGCAAGCAAGAAGGGTTGCAGTACAGCGAGCCATCACTGTCTGGTTTACGAGCTTCAATCCATCTACACATCACTGGTCTCCCGATCTTCGCAAAATTAACATCATGTAGGATAGGGAGTTCCAAGTTTGTCTATTTTTTAAATACGTGTTATGTTGAAATGACCGCTGCACACTGTATTGTGCTTGTGTGTGTGTGAATGGGAATCGTTGCGTGAACGCATTGACGTTATATACAGTATACAGATTACAAGGCCCATATAATGTAGACGTGATTCTGTTCAATGTTTTCGGTCGTTTCTTACAAATTATCTTAGTTTTAGCGTGTGAAAATTCACTTGCATTGCCAATGCAACAAAATAGTAACAATAATGTACTCCCCGGTGGCTCATCGGGGAGTATATTATGGTTTAAGCAAAAAATAGATATTTCATGTTGTTATACAGCGCAGTCCGTTGCATATTTAATGCTTCACTTGCCGCGGCGTACGCATGAAAATCTGCTTTGCGCATGAGCACATATTATATGCAAATTAGAAACATTTGATTTAAAGGGCGGCAGTCGTCGTGCCGCGTCCTGTTCGATATATGACTCATAGCGAAGTATACAACGCGTGTAAAATACATTGTTTATTTACATGAAATTCGAACACGCGCTGCGCGACGATCTCCGCGCTTTAAAAATGAATGACAACATGCCCTATTTATTTTCCGTATTGTTTCCCATACCATGTTGATTTCAATATACAGCTAATTATAGTGTATCACGGATTAATCACCATGGTTACTAATCAAGTCATTACAGTTTTTTATTAGAAACAACAGTCGCGACAGCCCATATGTGACTCTCTGGTTCATCTGATATTCCAACTGATTATGTTCGCAACCTCGGGCTGTAGCCGCGTTCGGGATTAGTTCATGTCGCGCTCATTCGCCTTCTTGTACACGTTCACATTTCAACCGATGGACCGCACTAGTTTCCGGGTTACGCTGTATTTCTTTCACACGTGTAAGTTATTGTGGTCGATTCATATTTGAAGGACTATAATTTTAGTTTACACTTCCGGTCACGAATTACGATGGACAGCGAGGCGGATGCTGTGGCATGATAATCTAAAAATACCACACCTGAAAATAGTCAATTGACCCATGGTCTGACTTGGTAGTTAGCAAGGACAGTATATACTCATGATACTGTACGTGGAGCAAATAAGGTACGGTTATTTACAATGATTCGATTCATTTTTTATAATAATACTATCGTTGTCCACAGTGAACAGCTGTTTAATATATGCGCTGTAGCGGTACAATTTGTATGAGTTAGTTATGATGGGTGTTTCTAGATACAGTGGCATTCAACTTGATGTTATTCACTGCCCTGCCATCAAAGTTGATACTCACGTGGGTTAAATCTAGGCAATAACGTTACTGGGTGTGTGAACTCAAAACAGTCAGTCAATGTCGTATACTTGCACTTCAGACTTCAATGCTTACGTCATGTTTCCAATTTATGTTATAAAGAGGCTTTATCGCGTTTGGTAATATTAATCTGAATAGACACATTCAGTACATTTGTACACACCGGCGATGATATTCACTGGCCTGCGATTCAGTGCATGATACTATGAATGGAAGGCTCATTAATATTCCACCACAGTCCCTCTATCCCCGGTCTAGAAATGGTCATTGTATTAGGTGTGAATTGGTCTCCTTCCCTGGCAAAGGCGCATTGCGGGTGTGGGCAAAACATTGTCACGTGATAAGTACGTGATTTGACAACGTCAGTGTTTTGTATTTTTTTTACAATTTAGTTGTTTATTCAAGAATTCGTACTTTTTCACATAATTTTTTAATCAGGATATCTGTATAAGGTCATATTTTAGCCGGCGAGTAGTTCTTTAATTCATCTATTTTACCAGCAGTGACACATTTTCGCAACAAATTTTCTTACCTTTACCCAGATATTTGTCGTTTTGATTTTGGGGTGATTGAAATTAATTCAATTTTATTTACCATACTTCTCGGCGCGAAACCAATATTTGTCTTCAA